TACTTTAGCTTCAATATTCTGATTCGGGGTTTTGATTTCTTCACGAATTGGCTAATGAATTGGATCCTTGGAAACTTTTTATAGATTTTAATTCCTTTCTGTGTTGGGTGTCGATTTGGTTATATTATGTGTTTTTGGGTATGTCAATTGGATTGTTTTACAGTGAAAATTTTCTGGGTATGGTTCTACAGAGATGTGTGTTGATAGAGAATAAAAGGCCACCAGTGACCAATGCAGTGGTGGGAGGAGGTCGCGTAGTGGATCATCCATTGGAAAGTCTGTGCTGGGTTTGGTTTCCTTTTTTTTTTTTTTTAAAAAAAAATTTAATTTTAATTTTTAAGTTTCAAGTTTTCCATTTTTTAAATTTTATTGGAAGGATAAAATTGGAGTTTTAGAGTGTTAAAAGTAAACCTAAACTGATAGTAGTTGACGTGTCATGTTATAGGTCGTTAGATTATTACAACGACTAAGATTAAGCGAAATGCAAGAAAATACGCAAACTCTAAATGCAGAGAGTGGGGATCCTTAACACAATTCTTTTTTTATGTAGATATATGCCTTCGGGTTTTGGTCTGGCCCGATCCAAGCCTGCCAATGTGCTGAGCTCAAGTACCGGCCATTTGGCCCGTTCCTAACGAGGTCATCGGCCCACATCCCTCAAATACCTTTTTTTTCCCCTTATTTATTTATTTTTCCTTCTCGTTCTCTCAATCTCTCTGGTTTCTTTCATTTTTCTATTTTGGATTTCTCTCAAAAATATTTGTTTAAATGTTTAAGTCTAAAAGGTATACATTTAATTTATTTTCCTGGTCTCGAACCTTAGAAAAAGGAAAATGAAATTCAAGATTTGATATCGAAAGCAGTGACGTCATGCTATCTGATAGGAAGAATCTGCAATGCATACAAAAGGAAGAAAAATATAATTTTTGTCCATTTCTGACGTTGACTGCTTTGGATTTTTGGTTTATTTGCCCCGGTCTTATTTGAACCGTTCAATTCAAGTATTGCCTACGAACACATTATTTGTGGTGACTAAATTCAACAACTCTGGTATTCATGTATCATTTCTGCCTAAAAGTCAATTAAAAAAGTATGTATTAATCTATTTTTCTTGTCTCGAGCTTCTGTTTTCGTGTTCAAGTTCATCTATTTAAAATTGGTTAGGTATATTTTAAGTAACGCTATTCTCACATACCATAATCGAAAATTTTAGTGACAAAATTTACTCTTATGTAAAATGACTAAAATAACTTATTAGAAAAATATCTTACTCTCTTTTCACCCTTCTCTTTAAACCCACCTAAACCATAAGTTAATCTTCTCTCTATATCTCCAACACTTTGATGCAGCAGCATATGATATATTTATTTTTTTAAAGCTCTTAAACATGACTATTACCTACTCAATCCCCTCCCTCCCTCGGGTGAGATGAGAGAACGATAATGGGAAAACTTTGCTGCATTCCACCTCAATTTTTTAAACCATATAAAATAATCAACATCAATTAAAAATAAAAAAAGAAAATTCAAGATTTTGATATCGAAAGCCGTGACATAATGCCATCTGATAGGAAGAATCTAGAATAAAAAGGATGAGAAATAGAATATCTCCATCTGCCCTGCCGTGCCTAGGAGTCTCCATTTCCGGGTCGTTTGACTACTTCTGCCTAGATTTTTTTGTCCATAAATACTCGCACTGGGACTCACTCTAACACCACAGCCACCCACAGCTTCATATCTAAGCTGAAGTTTTGTAACCCTCGAAAAAACTTTCCATCAACCAATTCAAAAGCTTCAATCTTTAATGGCGGATCAGGTGGTTTTGTTGGATTTCTGGCCCAGCCCTTTTGGGATGAGGCTGAGAATTGCTCTGGCTGAGAAGGGCGTTCAGTATGAGTACAAAGAAGAGGACTTGAGGAACAAGAGCCCACTCTTGCTCCAGTCGAACCCGGTTCACAAGAAGATCCCGGTGCTCATTCACAATGGCAAAGCGGTCTCTGAGTCCCTCATTGCGGTTCAGTACGTTGATGAGGTTTGGAAGGATAAGGCTCCTCTGCTGCCTTCTGATCCTCACCTCCGAGCCCAAGCCAGGTTCTGGGCTGACTACGTTGACAAGAAGGTAACTTTTTCTAATTTACTGATTTGCATTTGGAATGTGTTGGAAGTGAAACAATTTTTTGTTTTTGGGTTTTGGGTCGTGGGATTGAAACAATTGAAAAGATGGAATTAATGCAAACCAAAAGAAAGTTTGAAATTAGATTATCTGGTTTTGATTTTGACAATCCTATTAACCCTTTAAGCTTTCTGCAATTCTGGTGATGTGAAATGCAGATGTATGAGATTGGGAGGAAGGTGTGGACAACTAAAGGAGAAGAACAGGATGCAGCAAAGAAGGAGTTCCTTGAGTGCATTAGTGTGCTAGAAGGTGAGCTTGGAGACAAGCCTTACTTTGGGGGTAAGACTTTCGGATTCGTGGACGTGGCGCTCATTCCTTTTTATAGCTGGTTGTCTGTCTATGAGAAGTTTGGCAACTTCAGTGTGGAGTCAGAGCACCCAAAGTTTATTGCATGGGCTAAGAGGTCCCTGGAGAAGGAGAGCGTGTCCAAGTCTGTTCCTGACCAGCAAAAGGTCTATGACTTCGTTTTGGAAATGAGGAAAAAGCTTGGAGTAGAGTAAATGGGAGGAAGCAAGTTTGTTAGATCATGTGCTTGTTCTGTCTTTCAAGTTTGAACTTGTTTTTGTTTCTTTAAGATTAGAATAAGAGGGCACTTGACCAAGCCCTCTACAGTATGAGGCACTTTGTCGTGCCTTTCTCTGGTCTTATGTTTCTTTGTCAATTGCTTTTGTAGTCAAATTATCATATTGTTGTTGACTTCTTGTTGTAGTAAGGAAATTTTACATGATCAAATTTCTTATTCAGTGAGTTAGTTTGCTTCTAGAAATTTCTTATTCATTTGCTGCAAACACTGCTCATGCCGCTGCTTGGCTCTTGGCATCAATCTCCCATACAAATTCCACACCCAATCCCTGGCGCTACATTTATGATATGTCCTGTGCAGGCTCAAGAAGCTTTGACTGATTCACTTACTTCCTCCACATCCTTAACATGGTGACGTGTTAGGTTATGGGAGGAAAATAGCTTATTGATTCTCCGTGCTTTGTAGCTCAGTCGGTTAAGAGCATTCACTTCAATTCACCCTCTCCTAGTATCAGTTTTATGAAAAAGAGAACGTGTAAAACGTTTAAGCAAAAATGTGTTACTAGTTATGTTAAGCAAAAATTCATATACTTGAATTAATTACTGAATTTGATTTAGTTTTTGTAAGAATGTGGCAGTCTAAACTACTCTAGTTTACAGAAAAGTTGTTGGGGAAAGATTATCTAGTCTAAACAGGATTGAGTAGGATCAATTCGGTTGCAAGGTGATGGACATACTGCAAATTAATTAGTATTAAGTACTAACAGGATTTAGCAAAAATGTGTTACACGTTGTGTCCTCAGTCCTTATCCTACAGTCATCATTTTTGTATATATGGGACCAGAGGTCCCCAGTTGTCATCAAGGAGAATAAAAGCTTTTACTATTTCAATCATTTTGCTCCTCTTTTGCCCTCTGATCCTTACCTTAGAGCCCAAGCCATGTTCTGGAATATGTTCCATCCCAAAATCAATTAGCAATGAGGGGAGTAGTCCAACTCCTTATAAACTCAGGCTAAGTCCTTTAACTTTTCAATGTGAGACAAATATTCTCAACAACAATAAGTGCTAGTTAGTTAGTAAGTTAATATTCTAACACCTCGATTCGGTGCCCCACACAATATATCCCACAATCTGAACTGTCCATTCTTTAGGTGTTCATTGAAAGATATATGTGTAAAAATCCACTCCAATTGAAAAACACCAAGTTATATAACTGTGACATTATAAATAATTACATAGGTCTAAAATATAACTGATCCAATGGTTTATAAGTTGTTGATTCTTCTATTGCCTTTTGATGTTGAAAATCCAGATTGTTGTCGCAAATAATTATATTTCTTTTAAGTTCGATTCAAATCTTGACACATTGCACGTGCAACACCATATAGAAAAATCTTGATAGTCAATTCTCATTAATGATACAGTAAGAATTACATTTTTTATAGCTTACATTTACAAGAGAATTAGCTGAACTAATCGTGTACCTGTTCCAACAAAACTTGCCACTTGGACAGATTAGACTTAAGTAACAGATTGCTGACTCTGACTTGCATTTCCTTCATCACACCAAAACCAAACTCTTGTCTTTGAACCCAATGTAATGAATTTTTTTTTTCTGTACTAACCGGAAAAAATTTCATGTGAATGTCAATACATGGAGGGTTGAGGCCCCATTTTTATGGTTCGCGTCGGGCCTCGGAATCTCATGACCGGCCCTGAGGTGTGAAATGAAGGTATATGAGAGTGGAAAGAGGACTTGGAGAACCAAAGGAGAAGAACAGGAAGCAGCAAAGAGGGAATTCCTTGAGTGCATAAGGTTGTTAAGAAGAGCTTGGAGACGGGCCATACTTTGGGGGTGAGAACCTCGGATTCGTGGAAATGTCACTTATTCCTACCTATAGCTGGTTTTATGTGCGCGAGAAATTTGGAAACTTCAGTGTGGAGGCAAAGCACCCAAAGTTTATTGCATGGGCAAAGAGGTGCATGCAGAAGGAGAGTGTGTCCAAGTCTCTTCCTGGGCGGAAAAGGGTCTACGAATTCGCCCTGCGCCTTCGGAGTAAACTTGGAATGGAGAAGATGGGAAAAAGCATGGGCATAAATAAGATATCATCCATGTACTTGTTCTGTGTTTTTTAAGTTTCAACCTCTGTTTAGGGTTGTTTTGAAATTAGAATAAAAGGGCAGTTGGCCAAGTTGCCAAGCCCCCTCTACTTTGTGGAGGCACTTTGTTGTGTCTCTGATCATATGTGTTTTGTAGTCAAATTATCAAATTGTTGTGAAATTGTTATGAAAAAGCTCAACAAGCAGCCAAAAAACATGCAACTCAGAAACACCCTTTCTACATATGAACACTTTATTCATAGCAATAGGCAAACACATCAAAGTGTCTGCATTACTATTGTCGACGGCAAATATCATTACTATTTCTACATATGAACACTTTATTCATAACAATAGGCAAACACATCAAAGTGTCTGCATTACTATTGTTGATAGTCTGCTGCTGGCTAGCAGCCTGTTCTATACCCAATTAACAAGAGACTCGTACACCTTTTTAGGGTCTGCAAGAGATTTCGACACGCTCTCCCGGTGCATGCACCTCTTGGCCCATTCAATCAGCTTGGGGCACTCTGCCTCTGTGCTGAAGTTTCCAAAGGTCTCATATGCATAGAACCAGCTGTAGAATGGGATAAGAGCAATGTCCAAGAACCCAAAGCTCTCACCCTCAAAATAAGGCCTGTCCCCAAGCTCTCCTTCCAACTGCTTGAGGGCTTCAATGAATTCCTTCTTGCCTGCCTCTTGTTCCTCTCCTTTTGTGCCCCATATTTTCCTCGAAGCAACATATAGCTGCAATTTTTGCAAACATTACATCAAAATGAACTCCTAGAAATTATTCAATTGAATTAAACCGTTTTTTCTAGTCCCCATTCCAAAAGAAATTTCTGTTGCACCACTTGAAATTAAAACTCTGTTTTTGCCAAGGTTGTATGCTTTTTGCTCCTCTAACACTAATCAGTTTCTATTTTCAAAAAAATTCCACTCATTTATCCAGACATTAAAAAGTGGACTTGTTTTATTTTTTTATGCAATCTTCCCAGATAGCAAGCAAGATCATGTTGTAATTGAGCATACCACAGTTTCAAGGTCTGGTGTGGAACAGAGTGACCCATTGAAAAACCCATGACAAATCAGTTTCTCATTTATGTAAATCCTTTCAATTTGGTCTAATATAAGCAAAGTTTAACCTGGGAAAACTTCAAATTTTCTAAATTTTCTATAATTTTTCTGGAGTTGAATTGCAACCGGTATATATATATATGTAGCAGCTTTATATATAGAAAAAAAGGCAAGAGACAACTTAGACAAGCTAATTACCTTCTTATCAATGAAGTCAGCCCAGAACCTTGACCGAGCTCTCTGGTAAGGATCAGAGGGAAGCAGAGGAGCTTTGTCCCTCCAAACCTCATCAACATACTGCACAATGATCAGAGACTCACAGATCGGTTTACCGTTGTGGATGAGAACAGGGATCATCTTGTGAACCGGGTTCATCTGCAGAAGCAATGAACTCTTGTTCCTCAAGTCCTCCTCTCTGTTCTCATACTTGACACCCTTCTCAGCCAGCGCCACTCTCGCCCTCATCGCAAACATGCTTGCACAGAAGTCCAAAAGAACAACCTCATCCGCCATTGTTGACTGATACACAAAACAAGCTTCTTTTTCTTCTTCAAGCTCTGTCTAGCTTGACTGAAAGCTAATATATAAAGGTGTTTTTTTTTTTTTGATGACACTGGGGAAAAGCCCCAAACAGAATTAAAGGTGTTTTATTTGTTTGCATGTGCTAAAAAAATGTACTCGGCGGCTGAATTTGGGAAGGGGCGTCACGTGGCATGCTGTATGTGGTTTTGCTCAAGGGCACTTCCACCCCTCTCCTTTACTAGACTCCAAAAACAACACCCTCAAAGGAAAAATTGGCCATAGCAAGAAGTGGGCCCACAAAACTGAGCAAGCCTACGGCAAGACTTGCCTAAGCAAGTTGACTACAAGTAGTCAATTTAAATACCAAAAACATTAAAAAATAAAAAAATAAATCAAATTTTTTTTTTATATAAATACTCAGCCATGTTCTTCACTTCACACACCAAAATTCATACAAATTCCTCTCTTTGTATTTTATATAAATAGTGGTTACCCTTGAGTTGTCATGACAATAGATGAGAATGCATTAAAAAATTGCTAGGACAGTCACCATTCGCGTGAATAGTATTTGCCCTTACTTGCCCTTTGTCATGACATAAAGGTGTTGTGTTTTCCAATTCCAATCAAACTTTTCTACCTACTTCTTGCTTTCGCTTTTGCAACTTTCACTACATGTGGAATTTTTGTGTATGATAGGCTTCCTCCGTTCAAGTTTATCTTCTACCATATTTTGGGACCATATTTTTGATGGGTCAAGTCAACTAGTCTATTTGTATACAACTATTTCCATTTAGGATATATACCAAAAAAATAAAAAAAATAAAAAAAAGAATCAGAATTTTTTTTAATTATAAGTATCTAGACATGTTCTTTGATTCCCACACCAAAATCCATACAAATTCATCTCCTCATATCTAACAATGGATGGAAATGCATCAAAAAATTACTAGAGTAGTCACTATTCATGTGAATAGTATTTGCCCTTACTTGCCCATTGTCATGGCACAAAGGTGTTGTTTTTTCCAATTCCAATCAAAGTTTTCCATCTACTTCTTGCTTTCGCTTTTGCAACTTGCACTACGTGTGGAATTTTTGTGTATGATAGGCTTCCTCCGTTCAAGTATATCTTCTACCATATTTTTGATGGGTGAAGTCAACTAGTCTATATGTATACAACTATTTCCGTTTAGGATATATACCAAAAAAATAAAAATAAAAATGTTCTATAAATATCTAGCCATGTTCTTCGCTTCCCACACCAAAATCCACACAAATTCCTCTCCTCATATCCAACAACATGGATGGGAATGCATAAAAAAATTGCTAGGATAGTCACTATTCACGTGAATAGTTTTTGCCCTCACTTGCCCTTTGTCCAATTCCAATCAAAGTTTTCCACCTACTTCTTGCTTTCGCTTTTGCAACTTGTACTACATGTGGAATTTTTGTGTATGATAGGCTTCCTCCGTTCAAGTATATCTTCTACCATATTTTTGATGGGTGAAGTCAACTGGTCTATACGTATACAACTATTTCCTTTTAGGATATATACCAAATAAAAAAAAATTAAAATTTTTTTCTATAAATATCTAGCAATGTTCTTCGCTTCCCACACCAAAATCCATACAAAATTCCTCTCCTCATATCTAACAATGCATGGGAATGCATCAAAAAATTACTAGGACAATCACTATTCATGTGAATAGTATTTTCCCTTGTCCTTTGTCATGGCACAAAGGTGTTGTTTTTTCCAATTCCAATAAAAGTTTTCCATCTACTTCTTGCTTTCGCTTTTGCAACTGGAACTACGTGTGGAATTTTTGTGTATGATAGGCTTCCTCCGTTCAAGTATATCTTCTACCATATTTTTGATGGGTCAATTCAACTGGTCTATTATATGTATACAACTATTTCCGTTTAGGATATATACCAAAAAAATAAAAATAAAAATGTTCTATAAATATCTAGCCATGTTCTTCGCTTCCCACACCAAAATCCATACAAATTCCTCTCCTCATATCTAACAATGGATGGGAATGCATCAAAAAATTATTAGGATAGTCACTATCACGTGAATAGTATTTGCCCTTACTTGCTCTTTGTCATGGCACAAAGGTGTTGTTTTTTCCAATTCCAATAAAAGTTTTCTGTCTACTTCTTGCTTTCGCTTTTGCAACTTAGCACTATGTGTGGAATTTTTGTGTATGATAGACTTCTTCTGTTCAAGTATATCTTCTACCATATTTTAGGCCATATGTTTAATGGGTCAAGTCAAGAGATCTATTTGTATACAACTATTTCCGTTTAGGACATATTCTAGTAATCAACTTGTCAAATGCTACGTAGAGTCTTACTAATTCACTTATTATAAGAAAACTTTGTCTATATTCAATAAAGAATAATGCTACTCTTACCACATTTGTATACCACATCTTTATACCATCTTATGTGGCAGCTGAGGTGGACAGCCACATCAATTAAAATTATTTAATATTTTCTTTTCTTTTATGATTTATTCCAGTATTTGTTTTTCTAATTGCCTTAATTAAAATACACTTCATTGATTTAATTGATGTGGCATATAATATAGACATTCCACATCATGTGGTATAGAAATGTGGGATAAAAATGTGGGAAGTGTAGCATTACTTTTCAATAAAATAGAAAATATTAAGGACATAATAAATAGGCTAGTTCTGTTTTGGGCTTAGTCAACTTGTTTTAAATTTGAAGTCAATGGGCCTCTGCAAGTGCTTTAGGGCCTCTTTAATTTGTATTGACAATTATGTTTGTGTCATTTTCTATAAATTTCAACTAATAACCTCACAGTCAACTCACGAACTCACGGAGAAAGACAACACACCGCAGAGCGTCAAAAGCATGTAGTTTCATTCTTGAAAACTCAGCAGTTTATTAAAAAGAAACAAAAAAAATTGAGTGGAGATATTGTACTTGTGGAGGAAATAGCATCCTGCAGTCCCCATTTTTGTATATATATGGGCTCAGAGGTCCCCAGTTGTCATCAAGGAGAATAAAAGCTTTTACTGTTTCATTCATTATATTTGTAACCCCTGTAACTTTGTATCAAGCAATTCAAATCTGTCAATGGCGGATGAGGTGGTGTTGTTGCACTACTGGGCCAGCCCTTATGGGATGAGGGTGAGAATCGCTCTGGCTGAGAAGGGCATTCAGTACGAGTCCAGGGAAGAGGACTACTTGACCAACAAGAGCTCACTCTTGCTGCAGATGAACCCGGTTCACAAGAAGATCCCGGTTCTCATTCACAATGGCAAACCGGTCTCCGAGTCTCTCATTGCGGTTCAGTACATCGACGAGGTTTGGAAGGATAAGGCTCCTCTTTTGCCGTCTGATCCTTACCTTAGAGCCCAGGCCATGTTCTGGGCTGACTTCGTTGACAAGAAGGTAATATTAATAATGCTTGTGCAATAAGCACTAATTAGTTAGTAAGTTAATAACATCTCGATTGGGTGCCCCCCACAATCAATCTGAACTGTTCATTGAAACATAATATGTGTAAAAATCCACTCCAACCGAAAAACGCCAAGTTATATAACTGTGACATTAATTAGAATTTGTATTATAAATAACTAGCCTCTCTGCACGTGCTTTCGTGCTTGCGAGAGGCTTTTTTATATAAATATTTTTATAATTTATTTTATAATTAAAAAAGATAATTGGTAGTTGTGTTTCATAAAAATAGGATTCAATATCTTATTTTTTTTTTAATTTTAATTTTTTTAATATGAAAAAGTGTGAATTTACCATGTTATCATTATTTAATTAATAATTTTAATTCTTAATATTGAATTAATTAATGGCATTTTCTGGTATTTTGAATGTTTCACCATTCTCTGCCTTTTGCTTTATATATACATATATATATAGATTACATAGGTTTAAAATATAGTTGATCCAATTATACGTAGTTTTTATGGTTCGCCTGAGGTGTGAAACGCAGGTATATGATAGTGCAAAGAGGACATGGAGAACCAAAGGAGAAGAACAAGAAGCAGCAAAGAGGGAATTCCTTGAGTGCATAAGGTTGTTAGAAGAAGAGCTTGGAGACAAGCCTTACTTTGGGGGTGAGAATCTCGGATTCGTGGACGTGGCACTTATTCCTACCTATAGCTGGTTTTATGTGCGCGAGAAATTTGGAAACTTCAGTGTGGAGGCAAAGCACCCAAAGTTTATTGCATGGGCAAAGAGGTGCATGCAGAAGGAGAGTGTGTCCAAGTCTCTTCCTGACCAGGAAAGGGTCTACGAATTCGCCCTGCGCCTTCGGAGTAAACTTGGATTGGAGTAGATGGGAAAAAGCATGGGCATAAATAAGATATCATCCATGTACTTGTTCTGTGTTTTTAAAGTTTCAACCTCTCTGTTTAGGGTTGCTTTGAAATTAGAATAAAAGGGCAGTTGGCCAAGTTGCCAAGCCCCCTCTACTTTGTGGAGGCACTTCGTTGTGTCTCTGGTCATATGTGTAAAGAATAAAAGAGATGGAATAATCGTTATGTTATTGATATCATGCTGTACATAATACTATCCTTTATATACTAAGTTTACAAAATCTCCTATTCTAGCATAATTCCTAATTAAGGCTACAATATGGGTTTGACCCATAAACCTTGCGGTCTCATATAGGAAAGACAATTACAATATTTACAATCCTTCAATTACAAGATTTGATTTCCAACAATATGTGTTTTGTAGTCAAATTATCAAATTGTTGTGAACTTGTTATGACAAAGCTCAACAAGCAGCCAAAAAAATGCAACTCAGAAACACCCTTTCTAGTTTCTACATATGAACACTTTATTCATAACAATAGGCAAACACATCAAAGTGTCTGCATTACTGTTGTCGACGGCAAATATCATTATTGACTGGAAAAACAAAGCTGAAAGGAAAAAGATCCAGAAGAACAGCCTAACATATGATTGCAGGATTTGCTAACATAGTGACCATGTTGATAGTTTGCTGCTGGCTAGCAGCCTGTTCTATAATCCTACCCAACTAGTGAGAGACTCATACACCTTTTTCGGGTCGGCAAGAGATTTCGACACGCTCTCCCGCTGCATGCACCTCTTGGCCCATTCAATCAGCTTGGGGCACTCTGCCTCTGTGCTGAAGTTTCCACAAGTCTCATATGCATAGAACCAGCTGTAGAATGGGATAAGAGCAATGTCCAAGAACCCAAAGCTCTCACCCTCAAAATAGGGCTCGTCTCCAAGCTCTCCTTCCAACTGCTTAAGGGCTTCAATAAATTCCTTCTTGCCTGCCTCTTGTTCCTCTTCTTTTGTGCCCCATATTTTCCTCGAAGCAACGTACAGCTGCAATTTTTGCAAACATTACATCAAAATTCCACTCATTTATCTAGACACACAGAATCAATAAGTTATATATTTTTTTAAATGAACTTGTTTTATTTTTATTTTTTATACAATCTTCCCAGATAGCAAGCAAGATCATGTTGTAATTGAGCATACCATAGTTTCAAGGTCTGGTGTGGAACAGAGTGACCCATTGAAACTCCCATGAAAAAACAGTCTCATTTATGTAAATCCTTTCAATTTGATCTAATATAAGCAAACTTTAACCTGGGAAAACTTCAAATTTTCTAAATTTTCTATAATTTTTCTGCAGTTGAATTGCAACCAGTATATATATGTAGCAGCTTTATATATAGAAAAAAAAGGAAAGAGACAACTTAGACAAGCTAATTACCTTCTTATCAATGAAATCAGCCCAGAACCTTGACCGAGCTCTCTGGTAAGGATCAGAGGGAAGCAGAGGAGCTTTGTCCCTCCAAACCTCATCAACATACTGCACAATGATCAGAGACTCACAGACCGGTTTACCGTTGTGGATGAGAACCGGGATCTTCTTGTGAACCGGGTTCATCTGCAGAAGCAATGAACTCTTGTTCCTCAAGTCCTCCTCTTTGTTCTCATACTTGACACCCTTCTCAGCCAGCGCCACTCTCGCCCTCATCGCAAACATGCTTGCACAGAAGTCCAAAAGAACAACCTCATCCCCCATTGTTGACTGATACACAAAACAAGCTTCTTCTTCTTCTTTAAGCTCTGTCTAGCTTGAATGAGAGCAAATATATAAAGGTGTTTGATTTGTTTGCACGTGTTGAAAAAATGTCGTGGGCGGCCGAATTTGGGTGGGCGTGTCACGGGGCAAGCTGTATGTCGTTTTGCTTAAGAGCAAGCCGAAGGCAAGATTTGCTGACGTTAGCATGGCATCAGTGTGGCGTCAGCGGTCAATTTAAATACTACAAAAATTAATATATAAAAACCAATTAAATTTTTTTTTTTTTTTTTTTTTATAATTACCTAGCCATGTTCTTCACTTTTCACACCAAAATTCATACAAATTCCTCTCCTCATATAAATAATGGTTGCCATTAAGTTGCCGTGACAATGAGTTGGAATACATCAAAAAAATTGCTAGAGTAGTCACTATGTGAATAATGTTTGTCCTTACTTGCCCTTACCCTTTATCATGGTACAATGGGGTGGAAGTACTCTTAAAAGTGTTGTGTTTTCCAATTCCACCCAAAGCTTTCCAATTCCAACAACCAAAGCTTTTGCAACCTGCATTACATGTGGAATTTTTATGTATGGCAGCTTCCTCTGTTCAAGTATATCTTCTACCATACCTTACCTTGAGGCCATATCTTTGATGGGTCAAGTCAAGAGGTCTAATTGTATACGACTATTTCCATTTAGGATATATTCCACTAATCAACTTGTCAAATTGCTACGTAGAGTCTTACTAATTCACTTATTATAAGAATTTTTTTGTTTAATATTCAATAAAATAGAAAATATTAAGGACATAGTAAATAGGCTAGTTCTGTTTTGGTCTTGGTCTGTTTTTTTTAAAAAAAATTTCTTAACTTGAAGTCAATGGGCCTCTGCAAGTGCTTTAGGGCCTCTTTAATTTGTATTGACAATTATGTTTCTACCATTTTCTATAAATTTCAACTAATAACCTCACAATCCACTCTCGGAGAAAGACAACACACCGCAGAGTTTCAAAAGGCATGTAGTTTCATTCTTGAAAACTCAGCAGTTTATTGAAAAAGAAAAAAAAATATTGAGTGGAGATATTATAATTGTGGAGGAAATAATGGTGTAAGAGGGAGCAAATGATTGAGTGTCCATGTGAGTCTATATGATTTTTCAAGCTTATAGAGTCTGATCAATTATTATCCGATGGATTACCAAATACAGTATAACTTAGTCAGATTATTTATCCGGAACAGAACCAAACACTTTATAATATTATAGATAAACAGTTAGAACTCTCCGAAACAAATTAACACTATCCAATAGAAATTAGCTAGTACAATCCGACGTACCAAATAAGCCATTAAGCAAAAATGTGTTACCCATTATGTTAAGCAAAAATTCATATACTTCAATTAATTACTAAATTTGATTTAGCTTTTCTAAGAATGTGACAGTTTAAACTACTCTAGATTAAAGAAAGCGGTCAGGGAAAGATTATCTAGTCTAAACAGGATTGAGTAGGATCAATTCGGTTGCAAGGTGATGGACATACTGCAAATTAATTAGTATTAACAGGATTTAGCAAAAATGTGTTACAAGTTGTGTCCTCAGTCCTTATCCTAGTCACCACTTTTGTATTTATAGCACGAGACCAGAGATCCCCAGTTGTCAGCAAGGAGAAAAAAAGCTTTTACTATTTCAATCATTATATTTGTAACCCCTGTAACTTGTATCAAGCAATTCAAATCTGTCAATGGCGGATGAGGTGGTGTTGTTGGACTACTGGGCCAGCCCTTATGGGATGAGGGTGAGAATCGCTCTGGCTGAGAAGGGCATTCAGTACGACTCCAGGGAAGAGGACTACCTGACCAACAAGAGCTCACTCTTGCTGCAGATGAACCCGGTTCTAATTCACAATGGCAAACCGGTCTCCGAGTCTCTCATTGCGGTTCATTACATCGAGGTTTGGAAGGATAATAAGGCTCCTCTTTTGCCCTCTGATCCTTACCTTAGAGCCCAAGCCATGTTCTGCAAGAAGCTAAAAATTGGATAATTTTCAATTCACTTTCTGGTCCATAGCATTTGTGTTGCTGTTCAACTTCCTTGACCAAAAAAAAAAAAAAGGTGGTCTAAATTCTTTTCTCCTAAGGTTATTATTAAAAACATGTAAAATTATAAAATCAAAACCTTAGTCCTACTTTCTCAATTATATTACTAAGAACAGTATTCAATGAAAACAAAAATATTCAAGATTATTTGATATCGAACGCATGCAATGACATAATCTGATTGCTTCTGCTTTGAATGTTTGTCCATAAATACTCACACTAACACACACACCATCACCACCACCATCCACATGCTCCATATCTTAAGCTAAGTTTTGTATCAATGAACTCAAATTTGAGTCTTCAATGGCGGATGAGGTGAGGTGGTGTTGTTGGATTTCTGGGTCAGCCCGTTTGGGATGAGGCTGAGAGTTGCACTGGCTGAGAAGGGCATTCAGTATGAGTACAAAGACGAGGACTTGAGTAACTGTTGCTCCAGTCGAACCCGGTTCACAAGAAGATCCCGGTTCTCATTCACAATGGCAAACAGGTCTCTGAGTCCCTGGTTGCCCTTGAGTACATTGATGAGATTTGGAATGACAAGGCTCCACTTTTGCCCTCTGATCCTTACCTCAGAGCCCTCTGATCCGTACTACATTGATGAAGTTTGGTAGTTTAGAACACACCTGAGAGGAAGAGAGGAACATAAAGAGAAAGAGGCTGGGAGAGAGAGGTTTAACCATATTTTTTTTACAAATTTATAAATAAACCCAATCCTAGACATGTATTTATAAAAAAACCCAAACACTATTTAAACATAGAAACACACCCAAAATCAACAATTGTATATTTTTGGGTGTGTTTATAAATGAGTTTTGATTGTGTTTAATGATGGGTTTTAGGTGTGTTTCTATGTTTAAATAATATTTGGGTTTTTTTTATAAATACATGTCTAGGATTGGGTTTTTTTTTATAAGTATCCCTATTTTTTTAGCTGTCAAATGTCTTATTTACCTCCACAAATATAACATGTGCTGCACATATGACTAAATTTAACAAAAAATGTAAAGGTATGACCAATTTTTTGATTAATACAGAGTTAGTGGACCATTTGAACGAATAATTTAGTTGAATGACTAAATGCAACTCGTATATAAATTTGAGGACCATTAATTTGAGTAAATAATAAAAATTATATTTTAAAAGTTTGATTTAATCTTGACATATTGCATGTATTGTTGGATGAGCGATGACATGATTGTCATAATCTTCTTTTTCTTGAGTGTACCGTTGGATGAACGATGTCATGATTATCCTTAGTAGGCATAGTTGGACTAAATTAATTTTTTGACTAATAAAATAACAACTCACCTGACTATAGCCCAAGTTAGTCCCTTCTTGGGACCGTCCCTGAAAGCACCCAAAGTTCATTGCATAGGCAAAGAGGTGCATGCAGAAGGTGTTTTTACAATATAGGGTTTCTTCATTTCATAATTGGGCCATAATTTGATTTAATTCTCAAGCCCATTATCCATATCCATATATGACTTTGACCTGTCAAGGGGTTAAAAGGTAACGGTCTTTTGACAGGTGGCACATGTTGATTAGAGAAGAGACCAAGATAAACTATTTTTATCAGCACTTAGAGCAAAAGTAAGGCAGTTGGGTCTGATCCAAAACTTAAACAAAACTCAAACAGGAGCTTTCGGTGATCCTCTACCCATTAGTACCATTGCTTTTCATTCTCCACTTGAGATTAATTTCGTAATGATGCAGATTGAACCCAAAATTCCATTATATGTTCATCATCATCGGGTACAAATATTCAGCCTATAAATAGGAAGCTTTGCAGGAGCATTCGAGGACTCTCTCTCCAAATCAAACGCAATGTCTTTAAACACTACAGACTTCAACCCAATCAACACTTGATCTCAAATTAAGTTCTCAGTTTAAAGCAATCTCATTCCCAAAGATCATCTAGTTGACAATTCCTGCGATCATCTTCTTTATTGCTCTGCCAAATATTTGGTATGATTCACTAGCATCACTGCTAATATTTCTTAAACAGCTAAACATTCAAATATGATGGAGACATCTATAGCTTTCATTCCCTTTTAAGTGTAATTGTATTATATTAAGATAAGTAATCTTGCGTTTTCATTCATTTCCTGTTGTATTAGAATTGAATTAAGAAGTCTTCATTTCCAAGTGTTCGTTTATTTGCGTTTAGAAAGCAATTTATTTCAGTCATTTATTTTAAATTCTATCAAGGGCATACAAGGTTTATCTGATAGGGCCAGCCCGGTCAAGGGTTTTCTTCTTGCCCGATAAACAATACTTAGCCTAATCATGATTTTCGTCTTGCCCTGTCAAAATACATATTGCCAAATAAAGGGTAATTAAGGTCTAGTTAATACTATCAGGCATGGTATTAGCATAAACCAACCTACTGTAAAGGTTCTTTGTGTCTAATCAAGGTCATTGAGCCCGATTGAGGGATTCTGTGACCAAAACATGGTTTTTTCTATTTGATTAGGTATGTCATACGCCTATCATACCGTGAACAGACAAGTGAAAGAATGTTCAAGTCCTCTTAATTGAGACATAGAAAAGAACTAATCCAAGCCAATACCCCCCTTGGAGCACGATGGTTTGATTAGAGGTCGAGATCAGAGCAAATCCAACACATAATCATGCAAATACGGACATTTCTATTGGGTCGCTTTCAATCCCAATAGTTGCATGCTTACACAATCCAACAACCTAGAACCCACAGAAGCAACCTGATTTTCACTCTCCGGCAGGGGTTGGGCCTGTTTCTCTCGTTCATATCCGATACAACTTTCAATTGGATCATTTAGAGGCTCACTCACTGCCAAATCTAATGGTGCCAGCGTACAAACACACTCGGGGCATTGGTGTGGCACAGTCTACACCCCTGACGGGAAAAGACATCAGAAGGAGAGTGTGTCCAAGTCTCTTCCTTTCCAGAAAAGGGTCTATGGCTTCGTCCGGCAGCTGCGGAGTAAACTTGGAATGGAGTATATGGGAAAAAGCATGGGCATAAGCAAGTGATCGTCCATGTACTTGTTCTGTGTTTTGAAATTAGAATAAAAGTGGCCAAGCGCCCTATACTTAGTGAGGCACTTTGTTGCGCCTCTGGTCATACGTGTTTTGTAGTCAAATTATCAAATTGTTTATGATATATGTTCTGTGCAGGTGTAAGAAGCTATCACCTACCTTCCTTCAAATCTTATATAATAATATATGCCTAAGGATTAATTATAAACTGCATATTTTTAATTCACTTTCTGGTCCGGAGCATTTGCGTCTCGTGTTCAAGTTCGTCAATCTAAAATCAATGAGGTCCTTGACCAAAAAAGAAAGAAAGGTCTAAATTCTTTTCCCCTAAGATTATTATTAAAAACAGGTAAAATAATAAAATCAAAACGTTACTCCTACTTTCTCAATTATTATATTACAATGAAAAAAGAAAACAAAACAATTCATACTCCGGCTGCTTCTGCTTTGAATGTGTCCATAAATACTCACAATGACACACACCATCACCACTGTTGATGCTCTTTTTGGGAGGGTCAACTTAGAGAGAAGTGTAGAATCTTCAGCAGGGAAGAAGATGAGGACCTTCTGAGTTGGAGGAACCTGCAGAAGACAAAGTGGAAGAAGCAGTAGTCAAGCTCCCTTTTTTTCTCTGGTTCTCTCATTCTCTCTGGTTTCTTTCATTTTTCTATTTTGGATTTCTCTCAAAAATATTTGTTTCATAAATATTTAAGTTTAAAAGTAAAAGGTATACATTTAATTTATTTTCCTGGTCTCGAACCTTAGATAAAGGAAAAAGAAATTCAAGATTTGCTATCGAAAGCAGTGACGTCATGCTATCTGATTGGAAGAATCTGGAATACATACAAAAAGGAAGAAAAATATATTTTTTGTCCATTTCTGTCTTTTAATTTTTGGTATATTTGGCCCCGGTCTTATTTAAACCATTCAATTCGAGTATTGCCTACGAACACATTATTTGTTAAATGTATTTGGTGACTAAATTCAACAACTCTAGAGTTCATGTATCATTTCTGCCTAAAAGTCAATTAAAAAAAGTATGTTTTAATCTATTTTTCTTGTCTAGAGCTTTCTTGTTCCGTGTTCAAGTTCGTCTATTTAAAATTGATTAGGTTTTGAGTGATGCTATTCCCATATACCATTTAAATGAAAATTTTAATGACAAAGTTTACTATGATATAAAATGACTAAAATAACTTATTAGAAACGTATCTTACTCTCTATTCACCCTCTTCTTTAAACCCACCTCAACCATAAGTTAATCTTCTCTCTATATCTCCAACACTTTGATGCAGCAGCATATGATATATATTTTTTTTAAAGCTCTTAAACATGACTATTAGTGTAGCAAATTGACAATATCAACAGTCTTGAGAGAATATGATACTTTATTTATGTTAGGTTAAGACTATATTATTGAACTAAGAGCCCTAAACTTTTAACTACCAAGACCTTTTTAGGATATAAATTTCTTTAAATAAAATAAACTAAACTAAACTTTTAATACTGAAATCTGAAAACTATTTAACAAACTGTTTGTTAGTATGTTTTAATCTATTTTTGGTGTCTCTAGCTTTTGTGTTAAGTGTTCAAGTTGGTCTATCTAAAATTGATTGGGTATATATTATGAGTGAGGGTATTTCCATTCACCATTTGATGAAAATTTAAATGACTCAAAACTACAGCAATCGACAATATCGACAATAATTATGTCATATTTTAAGTGATTGTATAAAGAAGCATGTGGATGTGTTTCTCCTAATAAGTGATTCTGGTCTTTCTAAAATCACTCTCAAACAAGCTCTAATGCTATATTCAACAATAGTGAAAATATCAATATAGTGAGTCTATTTGAGAACAATGCTACAATAAAAGTTCTCCTTATAATATACTAATTGATTTACCCACTCCCTCCCCTCCCTTCGTCGGGTGAGATGAGAGAACGATAATGGGAGAACTTTGCTTTACAGTGGAAATATCTGCATTCCACCTAAAATTTTTAAAACCATATAAAACAATCAACATTTTTTAAAAATTAAAAAAAGAAATTCAAGATTTTGATATCGAAAGTCGTGACGTAATGCCGTCTGATTGGAAGAATCTAGAATAAGTATCAAGTACAAAAAGACAGAGATATTCTAACATCTCTATCTGCCCTGCCGTGCCTAGGAATCTCCATTTGCGGGTCGTTTGACTACTTCTTCTGCCTAGATTTTTTGTCCATAAATACTCGCATTGAGACTCACAATAACATCACAGCCACCCACAGCTTCATATCTAAGCTGAAGTTTTGTAACCCTCTAAAAAATTTTCCATCAACCAATTCAAAATTTTCCCTCTAAAAAGTTTTGTAACCCTCTAAAAATTTCCCTCCCTCCCTCCCTCGGGTGAGATGAGAGAACGATAATGGGAAGACTTTGCTGCATTCCACCTCAATTTTTTAAAACCATATAAAATAATCAACATCAGTTAAAAATAAAAAAAGAAATTCAAGATTTTGATATCGAAAGCCGTGACATAATGCCATCTGATAGGAAGAACCTAGAATAAAAAGGATGAGAAATG